TAAGTTGATTTGCATACAAAGCAGAGCTTGCAACATGATAGCTATTCATAAAGGGTTTTTTTTTTTTTTATTTTTCATATAATACAGTAGTCACACAATGAGGTAGTTCATATTTGTCTCAGTGAATCATTAATTTTTGACAGACACCTGTACAAAATACTTGGACTAAAGCCAGCTAAAATTTTCTGTTATCTTGCATGTTTTATGAATCTATTCACATCTAAATGCAGCACTTTTTTTTTTTCAATGAGACATTTGTTTTTATACTAAAATATCTGAATTACTTTGAAGAAAGCTGGAAATTATGTCCCTTAAAATAATTAAACAAATAAGGCACCAATGTTTTTGTAAGATATTTACATCTTTTAAGGACATTCGGTAGACTGATTCCCCACTGTTGGTTCAACCCCAAAACTTGTTTGTATTCAAAATTAATTATGACAATGCATATTTATATTGAAACAAACTATGATAAAGGGAATTATATTATATAACAAAGGGCAAGGTCACCAGAGTTCAACTATGTTTCTGCTTGATGTTATTTTCAAGTGCCATTCTTGTGTGTTGCAGTAATGTGATTCAATGCTGAATGGTAAATTCAGCTACAGTGAATTTCATGAAGACATAAATGTTTTTAATAAGAAATATTTATGAATGTTTTATAAATTTCAAATGAAGTTTGAAAACAAATTGACCAATCACAACTCGTTAACAGATGCATGACAGTAAATTGGCCAATGATTAAAGGAGACTTACAAAGACTCATGGGTAATTGTTATATTGCCAATAGCTTCTATAGCTGTTGAAAGCCTGGACCACAAAGGTTTTCTAGGGTAAATTTTTTTATAAATATTTAAAACTTTTCATAAAACAGCATTCATGTGTTCATGAAATTGACTGTATAGAATGAATGGATTGAAACCTTCAACCATAAATGTTTGTATTGTTTTTTATTTAGTTTTTATTAATACAAACTGCATTTTTATGTTCATAACCTTCTTGAAAGGTTGTTTGGCTGATGTTAAAAAATACATTGTTTGATCGTTACCATAGCAATAGATGTCACATTCTTCATTTTTGTATTGTACTATATTTTATAACAGCATTGCAATAAAAAAAAAATTGTAAATTGGTATTATAGTTTGTGTTGTCTGTCTGCCACATCTTGAATTTTCAATGTCCGAGGAATGTCCGAACGGAACAACACCATGCAAGCGGACGATGGTCTGCCAGCCACCAAATTACACACTTCAGTATGACTTGTCCCAATCTGATATTTTACACATATGTCACTGTAATACTGGGAGTTGTTGTTAGAATCCTCCTACCCCTGCAGTTTATAAAGAGTTCTAGGAAATCAAAAATCAGTTATATATCTTAATACATAAACAGGAAAAGTTTAATGGCATTCCTCAAGACAACATTTTTTGAATGTCAATGACACTTTGTGTAGTAGGACCCCAGAAAAATGTTCACTTCTACAAGATTTCTTCACTGACTCCTAAAAATTTACTCTTTCGAAATTCAAGTAGTTTACAGTTTTATGCATGCATTTTGAATTTTCCATTATGACTGTATAATTGAATTATCGGTAGAACCATAGAGCTAGATTTGCTTGCAGTTTGTTGCGATTCGAATCAAAAATTCTTGAAAAATAAATATAAATTGTGTAAACGAGGAGTGAGCGCAAAAGTCTCAACATTGTCGGGAATTCGCAGTTACAGGACTTTCATGTTCACCCTTCGTTTATGCAATTTATATTTATTTCGAGGAAATTTTTCATCGGAATTGCAACAGACTCCAAGCAAGTCTACCATGGAGCTAGAACAAAGGCAATCATAATGTCTGCATAGCAACACTTCTGCATATTTCACTTATGAGATGGAAACCTCGCCAATTTGTTTTAAAAACTTAGATTGGAACGCAAAAAAGTAAAAGTAAATAAACCCTTGTCATCCACAGTGATAGTAAATAAACTACCGTTATATATTGTTTATAAGCAGGCTTTCCAACAGTCAGTCAATTAGCTCTGAATATGAATAACCACACCTCCTCCTACTTATTAAAAAAATCATCTGAAAGTTGTATATGTAGTATCTGCCAGGAAGAGTATTTTTGAAAATGGGTATTTGGATCATTTATCACCTGTGTTGATGTTCTTACTACTGCTGTTGAATGAAACATCTGAAAATCAGTTGTTCAATAAATTAATTGACATGAACGATTCTGTGTTTTTTAATTAGTGACTCTTCATAAAAACATAAGAAAATCGTGTTTCAAGAAACTGTTCCAATCGATCACTCAATTCTGTTCACATGACTTTTGAATATTTTTAGAACTTTTAATTTTATTGCGTCCGTGTAAAAAGATTTACATAGGATACCGTATGTACAGCAAAAACAAGTTTTAAAATTATAAAAAGATGTATGTACAAATATTATAAAAAAGTACGTAACTAGTATTTAAATGTTAAATATATCTTTGTGTTGTGTAAATATAATTGGCAAGTTCTTTAATTATACTGAAATCTTTTTTGTAAATAAAAATATAATTTATATTTACTAGTAACATTGATATTAAGATCATACCTCATTTGATATGGTATATTTTAAATAACATTTGGTTTGGACATGAGGCTAGTTTGGTTACCTAACGTAACAGGAGACAGTTCATGTACCGGTATATGCAGTGTTTTAATGGTTACGTAATCACTTTTGACTCAATCTCCGGCCGAGCAACATCCAGTTATACGCGTTCCCCGTACACTCTAAATATGAGAATACTCCATTTCCCGTTTTGTAAGCGCGTCGAGCAGTTCCTGTTCAAACACGGTAAGTAATATTTCGTTGCTTGGCGACAGTTTTCTAGGAAATATAGATCAAGAAATCAAAATGTTATCTGGCCGGCACACGAAACCAAAAACACCACTAGAAAAGAGAACATGTAATAGAGAAGAAATTGAAGATGAATTCCATCAAATCAGTGTCAAATAATGTAATGCTCAAAGTACGAACAACAAAGAAAGTTTCTAGTTTCTACCAAATACATGTACATAAATAATTTTAGTAACTTCTCGGTTCATAGTCAATTTATTTCTATAATGAGTCTTTGCAGTATACAGATCAATTTATTAAACCTTGCCTTCATAATAAGAAAAACATTATATATTTCATTGTCAAAATAGAATTATCAAAGAATGTAGACAGCTCTATTTATTTATGAGCTACTTGTCACTATGGATGATCTCTCCAGTTGTGACAAGTTTATTCTTTCCAATTTCTCTTTGTTCGTTTTTTTTTCGTATTTTAGATCTGTTTTAGTCTTGTAGTGATGTCTTTTGCTCTGTTGGGCATTACTTTACTTTTGTTTGTGTGCATTCGAAATAAAATATTAAACATAACATAATGTCATCATTCTTTTGTTTTTCGCAACAGAAAGTTGCGCACATGAGAAATGAAATATACCCGAATGATTTAATAGAAATGAGTGTCTGTATCTTCGAAGAAAGGCACCCAGGTTTTTTTAGTTACTGCGAATAATTTAAATACGTTGTACAATGTGATTGTAGAGATAACGAAGATTTTTAGTAACCGTGCTATGATGAATCGACCGACATAATTTATCATACAAACGGAAGAATTGAAAGGAAATTGGGTTGAGGGCGCTATCCCAGACTTATTGATACTTCCTGTTTGCAACGTCAGGTTTGTTTTTGATAATTTTCACGTTTTACTTTCACAATATTGTTACACAGAATTGGTGGTTTGCTGTTACCGTGGAACTTATAGAACCCAGAACATGTCGAGGGAGCTAAGTAGACCTCGAAAAAGACCTCGGAGGCCGCAGGTTCGAGGAAATCGTGTTGTTGTTACGCTCAGTACTTCTTCCTCGAGCGAAGACGAACACATTTTTGAGAGTGAGCGCGACCGAACGAAATTCCATAAATATGTGTACCGACGAGCGACATCAAATGGCACATTTTGTGACTGTTCAGGAAATAGTAGTACCAACAATTGCTCATGTACGTGTAACGAGGAACACTCAGGTAGGAGACATTTCCGTGTGAAGCCTTTTATAGTTAGCCATATCAATGTCGAAGAGTGGAGTAATTGAGGTTGAATGTTGTTTACATTACCTACAAATTGCATTCCTAACGTTTTTCAACAATTGTTTTGGCAGATATTTTGGGCGTTCACCTTCATGATCCGTACCGAGAGTGATAGTTTCTATAGATTTTAATTTGGCCACCCTGTGATATCAAATGAGTGTTTTCCTTTAGGGTTAGGGCTCTCAAGGACATATGCAGTAAGACTGCATGTATGTAGCCTTCCATTCATTGTAATAAGAATATGAACCCTTGTCTTCTCATGCATTCTCCTTCCCAGAGTTCCTTGCGGTTAGATCAACGAAAGTATCTCTGCCACCACACACTGCCATTTTGTGGTGAAACACCACAAGACATTTACTACGCGTATTATTTGCGTATTTTTGTTATTAGAGGAATCTCGTGTTGATTTCTTCATCCTAGTAAACAAGTTTTAAAATATGTTATCGATGTCTGATAATGATTTTTTCGTAAACATACTGAAAACAGTGAATTAGTTATATAATTTACAAAAGAAAATAATTTCATCGCGGAATAACGGTTACTAAGGTGTTACTCGGTTAATCAAATTGACCGTCCTGTCGAAGAAATATGAACAAACGAAAACACTTCGTAGTATCAACGACTAATCGTCCCACTGTCACACCGTTTGTGCTACAGAAAGAAAAAAAGAAGCTTCTAACTTTGAAAACAGCCAAAATCTGTAAACAACGATACACATTCGTCAGATTCGAAAATCGAACACTTGCATGGCAATGTTTTGGTGAGGGTCTTTGAAAGTAGTACCGCTGTGACGCATCGACCAATCAACGACAAGCATAAGATCGCATGGTGGCAGAGATATATTCGTGATAGAACTCTGCCTGGGGAGATTGCTTCTCATGGTCTTGTCAGTCATGTCACATTTCATCACAGTTACTTCATTCAAACCTTCCATGATAGAATATAATTTATACAAAATAAAGAATATACCAATCTCCGAGCATTTTTATATAAAACAATACAAAATACAATTAGTAATTCTTTACTCCTTTTGCATGCTTCCTCATTGCTGCCAGTACATGTCATTTAGTGGACTAGATCCACAGTCACTTGAAGACTGAAAATCCAAATAAATTGGTTAGTATTATTGGTAATATTTTTTCCCAATTTTTCTTTGCTACTCAACTAAAAAACAATCGTGAAAGTCAAGTGTTGTGAAAGTGACACATCATGCAATCAACGATCCATTTCTATTAATATAAAAATGAAAATTCCAATGGCTTCTGGGAATAGTTAATAACCATTCTTTGCAATTGTGAAGTTTATTTTGTTCAAAACCATACAATTGATGAGTAGTATCCAATCTGATTAAAATAAGATCCTAGTTTGGGCTTTTTTTTTTTTTTTTTTTTTTGTGTTAAAATAATATCATTCATATTTTTTTCATTTATTCTATTATTTTTTTTAAAATTTGTTTGCTGGTATTTTTTTAAGTTTTGGTAATCGCGAAAGCCCACAAATAATAGAATATATGAAAAAAATATGAATGATATTATTTTAACAAAAAACAAACAAACCCAAACTAGGACCTTATTTTAATCAGATTGAGTAGTATCGAAATAAGGGAAAAGTTTTCTCTCTCAGATACAGAATGGCAGTGGGACAACCCCATACCACCTCCGAATACCACTGTCAGTGATGTGTATTTAGAAAATCGTGAAGTATGGTTTCATAAAAACTATAGCTGTGGTACTGCTGCAGCACGTGGTAGTATGCCTATGATTGATGGCCAGCATTATTGGGAAATAAAGATGATATCACCAGTGTATGGAACCGATATGGTAAGCTGTCAAATCTATATTTCATGAATTTCATGTGTGCAAGAAAATTGCAAAATATTGTAAAGATTTCGCCAGGGTTCTTGAAACAAGGATTTCCTCTCAAAATATTTTAGAAATTGTAAATATTTGTTAGTGTGAAGTGTTTGCTGGCATAAATTGTCATTGTGTGATTATTTTATAGCATTTATTGGGGCTGTATTTTCTATATTTGTTTGTCCATGGTCAAAAAAAATTCAAATTTAATGATTCAGTATGCAATAAATATGCTTCTGTTGAAATCCTAAACCTCAAATACAGTATGTTATTGTGACCTTGTCTAAAGAACCTTAGTGAGCTTTTCACTGCTACAATCATTTTCCCATATCATGGAATTCAATTTTTTGTGTATCTGTTCTGACCTCCCCGCCTGGTCAATGAAAACACAAATCAAATAATTGCAGAGCATATATGCCAAAGCGTGTGATGTAAATTAACCTAAATTACGGTATTTTGTTAAACATCTTTTCATTGTTCTTTTTTTGGAAGATGCTGGAAAGTATAGGTCAGCTAAAAAAATTGAAATTTGCATAATCGAACACACCACACACATGTACTCACATAACGATTCTGAGCACTCTTAAAACGTAACAACTCTCTTAAGCTATAAACTGTCTAGCATATGTATATGTGCAGTTACGTTACGAAATATCTTCAAAAAGTAGTAAACATTTTCGGGCACTGTTATGAGATGTATCTGAATTTGTGTGCTTAGATTTTGTATTTGAATTTTTGTGCATAAACAAAGATATCATTCCCTAGACAGAACTGAATCTTTGTGAATCAATATACATGTACAATGAAAAAAACTATATTTGAAAAATTGAAAAACAATACATCTTTTGTACTACATTTTGTAGTATTATTTACATCAATTAAACTTTGTATTGCTATGCTTAAATCTAGATGGTGGGCGTTGGCACAGATGAACTAGACTTAACAAAGTACCATACTAAGTTCTGCAGTCTACTGGGTCTGGATCACAATAGCTGGGGCCTGTCCTATACTGGCCATATGCAACATGATGGCACACCAAAACGTTACTGTTCAAAGTTCGGTCAGAACACTGTGGTAGGAGTACACCTGAATACGTGGTCGGGAACATTATCGTTTTACATAAACCGGCAACCATCAGGTATGTAGGCCAGTATTTGTAATTTTCAAGTCTCAAAGTTTTTATTTGCACAATTTAGGTTTCATAGAATATTGTCACTATTATTCAGTGCATGACAAGGTAATTACAGTCATGCAAATCATTGAAATAGTGCACAGATAAAAGAGAATTCTGTAAATTGTAGTTACCAGTATATGATAATTCCTAATTTTCGAGTTGTTAGTTTTCCCCGGAATCCTGCTAGAGGGTGCGTCCAAAATACCCGGATGACGAGCCTGAGTGGGGTTGTTTGACGTTATTGACGTTCTGCATTCTTACATGCGTAAATCAATAGATTGGAAAAACAAAAAAGTTCCAGAACTCCGCAAATTTCTTCAGGGTCGTGGTATGACTTGCAGCAATGTTCGTAAAGCTAAACTTTTTGAACTTGTTGAGTTTGCAAACGAGTTAAATGTTCGCCTTTTGGAGACCGACGATCGCGAAGAGTCAACGTACTGTAAAAAGTCGTCATCGTACTGTAAAACATGGTGAGTCAACGATAATTTTGGTAGCTCCGTATTTACGTATAACGTAAAAACTTGGCAAAAAGACCTTCATACTTTGCCTACGTTTGAAATAGCTGATATATTCTCATATTTGTTGCATCGAAGTAACTGGACAACAGCCAGACTGAAAGAATATCGACTTGATAATGGTTATTTATTTCATCATTTCCGTAAAGCTTCATCATGTGCAGAATACAGAATTTATTGTCGTTATGGCAGAGTGTATCCGGCAAACATCCATGAAGGAAAATCCTTACAAGCCATGGTTTATTATTAAATCAAACTCTAAAATAGTTTCTGGTGTTTGTAACTGTGTAGTGTAAATTTGATTTAATATTTTATTCACCAGGCGATCAGCAGATACAGTTATATAAATGGACGCAAGCTTTTTTTCCTTCCGTAGTCATTTTAACTTTAACTTCAACTTCACAACAAATGCCATCACAAAGATTATGAACAAGAAGATCAATGTGGGAATAGGCAACGAGCAAATTTTCTATCAAATCCGGCTCAATGTTATCGTTTACGCTCGTCTTGGGAAGCTGAAAGTCTTCGTTTTTCAATCTATGTATAACTGCGGTTGAAAGACGGCTGTCTCCAGTTATTGAACTCAAAAAAATACTGGTACAGGATGGAAAATGCCGTGAACAAATCCGAGAATATCGTTTGACGTCCACTCAGGTTCTCGACGAAGCATTCGAATCCACTGGCGTCGAAGTGTTGATTTCTTGGACTAAAGAAATGTGTGAAATATTACGCCATTCATCTCAGGATATTTCGCTGTTTGTTTCTTTTTAATCAAACTCGATGAATAGCCTGGGGCATTACAATACCAGTTAATCATTTTGACCAATTCTTGCAAAACGTTTGTAAAAAAATAAGACTTCAGCAACAGTAACGACTAGTATATTGCTTGCAGTAGACGCCGCTCAAATTTCAACCCCACCACGAACGTTAAATGGGCTGTCATCTGGGTACTTTGGGAACGCCCTCTATCGAATTTCGTGAGAAAAATAGTACCGTAAATTTCCTTTTTGAGGCCGCGGCTTTAATTAAAATTAATTTTTTCAATGGACGAATTCAGATGCGTGAAGTCTTGGTGCGGCTTCAATTAGAGCATTCACTTCGGTAACAGTTGAAATTTTTTTCAGAAAACAAAGGCCAGAAGGGATAATGATATGCTAATGAGATGCACGACACTCGATTGCAACTTTGTTGCGATTCTAAGGCACTTTCGGATTTTTACACGCAGACAAACTTGTACACGAACGAAATTTCACACTGTATAACATACTGCACAATAAATAATATCTACAAATAGATTTGTATGCATTTGCAGATTACGGTACTGTATACTACAATCTCTTGAATAGACTAATTCGTTAGCACCAGTCACTCTTTTAGTAACCGTGCAGACAGCCATCTGACACAGTCGATTGCGGCATGTTCGACTTCCGGCAGAGTGACTGTACATTCTATGTTTAATCTAGACATCGGGGTTTTTAAAATAAAAAAAGTCAATCAAAAAAAAAATGATAACGAAAAAATACTCAGTACATTATTTAATGTAATATATATTTATTTTCTTATTTTTGATAACGAAAAGTATATTCTAAAAGAAGTCAAAACAAAAACGAATGCATTTTATAGTAGCAAATGATCACGGTAACGATCATGCTGCGTTTCACACAAGTGAATAACTTACTTGTTTTCGAAGTGTTACAATTGCTGATTATTAATCAGTAGTGATTACAATAATGTACAAAAATAAATTCGTTGAATTGTTGTGAAAATTCAACTTAGTTTCACCGCAAGCGAATGATTTTGGTCACATATAAAGGTCTCATGCCACTAATTAACCAATGGCTGCTCAATTTAAATGCCTAGCAAGAACCAATGAAATTTTTTAAATATTATTTTTCTCAGGTGCTCCCTGTTTGAGGGCGTAATCACCTGGGTCAGAGGTGAGACCAACATGTGGTCTTTTGTTTACTACTTAGCGGCTGTGTACCTGTGGGTTTATTCTGTGTGTTAATGGATGTTCTAATCTTGGTGTTTTTCCAGTGATTTCTCTTGGTGCAATCCAAGTACAGTAGGTGTGTCTTGTTTACCTGAGATTTGCAAGAGTTTGAGCTGGCCAACATGTTAGTTTTTTTCATATGGTTGATTACTGGCATGTTGGTTTCCCATTTTTGAGCCATATTTTCAACTTTCTTCGTCATTTTCATATAGCAATCTCGTCATATGTTAACATTGTCGTCTATGGAAATTCAATTAGTGGTATGAGCCCTAAATGCTCGACCGATACGATATCCGCCATGTTAGTTCAAACATCTTTAGTGACTTGAAACTGTTATGTTGACCTGATAGGTCAAGTCGCTAATTAACCAATCGAAACGCTGGATGGTGCCAACGTGATTAAATTACCATAGTTCATTTAAATATGTTAATGTAGTTCAGCGACCTCATGGTAAAGGAAACACAGAAGAGATTTACCGTTGTTGTAGTGCGATCGTTTGGCTTTGATTTTGATGGGAAAACGGCATGATTTTTTTAAATCAAGAAATTAGTTGTTTTCGAAAGATAAGCTGAGCATTGAAGAAGAATTTAACACTTTTGAAAATAATAACAGCTCATTGTCGAAACGCAGTTTACCCAGTCACGTTACCCACAATAAACCTGTACTCTGGAATAAGCGTCAATGACTACGGAAAACCTTAATTAGACTCTAATTTAAGCAACAGGAATCATTGAAATGTTCGAAAAATTATGCCTTAATTTAAAATTAAATGGTATATTTTTTTCTGAAATATGTGGTGGCTGGTTTGGTTTGTGAAAGTTTGGGGTGCGGCTTATATTGCAGACTTTTCCCTGGGATCAAAACTTGTCAATTTCAACATAAAACAATGTCTCAAGTTAGGGGTGCAGCTTCTATTAAAGCTGCGGCCTCAAAAAGGAATTTTACGGTAACTCGGAAATTAGGAATTAAAATGTTGCCGTTACAGTTGTTGCTGCTGTATTCTTAACATGTGCACGTATGACAACTGTTGATTACTTAGTGTGATGAATTGTCAAAACCCACAATTAAACGGAACCAGTTATGTGTTCTTGTAGTGTCTTTTTACTTTTTAAAACCTGATACTCTAAAACAAAGAGTCAAAGGAATTCCCCATTCCACAATTGAGTGTTAGAAAACCATTGCTAGTCTAACAATGTGTGTGAATATTCACAGTTTTCTGTTCTATATGAATTTTGCATTTTTTTTGTCTTACCAAATTATATGAAATGACGACCAACACTTTGCCACAGTATATTTGATCGATTGAAATACATATCCTGACTGGATATGCACTAGCGACTGATAAAAAGTACCGGTATACATTATACTGGAGTATAGTGTTGTCACCATGACGACATATAAAGCAAGTTTTAGGGGTAGTAGTAGTGATGATACTGTAAAAAAATAACATTTCCTTGGCTGCTCCTATTGTCTGACAAGAAAAGAACCACTATATTATAAAATTAATGCTCAGTATTTCTAACAGGTGTGGCATTTAAAGGTCTCCAAGGGAAGAAACTTTATCCAGTGGTGTGCTCCACGGCTGCACGGACCGGTATGAAGATTGTAAAAACCAGATCATTTCCTACTACATTACAGTTCCTTTGTTGTGACGCAATACGCAGGTATATTCCCAAAGACTTGAAGGTCTTAGCGGTTCTTGAACTACCGCCTGGACTTCAAAGCTTCCTGCAGGACAATCTGGGGTGGTTGTTAGACACTTGTGTGATGAACGAGAAAAAGGAACTCTGTACGACGGGTACCCAGACAAGTCTAACATTGAGAGATATACGACATGTTAGTGATCCCTAACTTAGTCAGCAAAAACATGATGAGTCTACCTACATGTAGTTCAGTGTAGAAGTGCATATAGAGATGTTATAGATTTATTATACCGGTACTAGTGTGTACTTGACAAACAAAGTCTTTTCTTGTTTCTCACTACCGATACTACTAGGTGATTGTGACGACTACAAAAACTAAAATCCAATGTCTAATGACATAGGATGCCATTTACTGAATGGACGATATTTTCAGATCTTGTGTGGGAGTTCTTAACATCTTTACTTGGTTTTTCCTTTCCTGAAGGCCTTAAAAAGGTACCGCAATTTTATCCACACAATTTGAAGACCAGTTTTAATAAATTTGTGACTGAACTTTTCACCGTGTATTAGTTGTTTTACATCAAGCCAGGGAAGTGTGTGTTTGGTAATGAATAATGTACATTGTTTTCTTTTGCTGCAAGTTTGTTATAATTATTGAATTCACAAACAAGTGGTCTCAAAAATTTGACCCAAAGTGCCACTGGCATTATTTTTACCAACCTAGGGAGTATGGTAGCATACATGTTTCTAGGTTGAATTTAATGCGATTTGTTTTTAAAAATGTTATTGTTTTTTTCCCCTTAGTTGATGTAATTGAGCATTTTGCGTCACTACAATCAGGTTTTTCTAAAGATCTTATAATTTTTTGGTAGACAAATACTGTAAATCAATTGGTGTAAGTTAATTGTGAAATGAGTATGTGACATGTAAAATTTGTGTATATATTTTAGAATAATTACGTAAAACTACACCTCAGATAACAATAAAAGGATGAATTGGCAACAAGACCTATTCTATTGTTACCATGTATGGATTGTACACTTATTCAAACATTTTGCAAGATATTGCAGCGAAATGTAGTTATTTGGCCAGGTCAACATGTCATTGCAAGGTTTTTAGCTGTAAGTGTACCTCGGCCATGTTTTTTTCAGCAACATTAGAACGTGCAATCTCTAAAATTGTTAATGCACAGGTTTAATTTGATTTAATTTACTTCCAAAAATATAAGGGTTTTTACAACAACAAATGTTCAACAGTAAATTAATATTCAGTTAATATGTCCTTGGCTGAAGGTTTCTTGTTTGGTAATACTTCTAAACACCCTGGAATTCTGAGTTCATGAATATGACTTGTGACATTTTGGAGGTTGTAATTCATGTAAAACACAATAATTAAGATTAGATGAATACTTTCACTCCTCCTTGTTTTAAATTTTTAGAAGCAATGATCTGTCTAACAAATGAAACAAAGCATCCCCATGCGTGTACAACCAGCAATGTTCAGGTACAGTGTAACACTGGTTGTTGTTTTTTCCTTACCCGTGGTAGACATCACCTAGAATATAATCTTTGAATAGACAAATGTTGCCAATCGGTATTGTTATCTGAGAGTACATATACCGGTAGTAGAGAAGGGTGGTTTCTGAGAATGCAAGACATGGTGAATTGTGTACTTTTCAACAAACAGAGTTTTGTATAAGTGGATTACTACCCTATATGCTAGCCTAATTGCATTCCTATTATTTTGTGGGTTCTCTCTATATTAGTATATTGTCTCTTATTTTGCTTATTAACCATGTAAATTTATTCCAACATCACAAACAATATGACGGTTGGACTTTCATCTCAGTGTCAACTACCATACGAGTTGATACAACACGTATAAACATACAACTCTCATCCAGTGTTTAGCGTATTCATATTAGCACCATGCTATATTTATCAGCCACTGACTACAGTGACAGGTGAAATCTCAGCAACATTTCAGACTACCGAGGGGATCAATGAAATTATGGAAAGATAACCAGGCTGCCTATATGCCGACTGAATCAATGTTTGATCAAGTATTGGAAAGGGAGTTATGGGAACAAGATTTCAACAAATAAATAAATTTAATTTGTGTACCACTGCTGTCTTGAATCGGCATTTTAGAATTACCGTGGTTACTGGTATATTCTGCAACTTGGCATGGTACTAGTACACAAGATTAATATATCGATTGCTTGAAATATGTAAGAAATTGATGACATTTTTATTTGGAGAGTAATACAGTCTTTGGTTGAAAACAGTTTTAAATCATTGTCACATACGGTACATGTAATTGTTACTGCACTGCAAACCATCCACTTTTTATGTGTGGTAAATGTGTAAAAAAAACATGTATGATTAGTTATTCATAAAGCATAGTTTTTGTTTCCTTTTCTCTCATCATTGTTTGTCAATGCTGAATTTCTAAGTGTTTTAAGAATATTGATTGTGATTTTGTATCATTAAATCCTCCATATCCATTGAAAAGTTAATTTGCATTGCTTGCTGTTACATTGTATATGTAAAGTTTGGACCAAGGACCACTATGCATTTATCCATCCACATTTCTATTTCAGGCATACTTTGACCGATTATATTCAAAACTTACACATACTGGGTATTAAAGTCATTATTACCATACGTGCGATATGTATGGTAACTCGGACTTCAGACTTAGCACAAATGTTCCAACCAACACAGCTACCTTTTTGAGTCAAAAGTCCAGCATAGCCAGTGCTATCAAAATGTGCACACATGTACCAAGCGATTTGCTAGACCTTGCCATATGGCAAGGTCACAGTTTGAGTTTATGTATGTTTTGTATATAGCTAAAGAGAAAATAGCTAGGGCCTTCAGACTTGGCTAACATGTGCTAACTCACAACACCTAGGTGTGTGAAGATTTGTGTGACTCAAAATCTTTGTAACTGCGAAATATTGAAGTAAACCATGCAAGAAATAACTGAAGAGAATCTCCCAACAAGGCTGAAAAACATATATGCTGGTAGAGCACCATTTCACATTGGTGCTACATAAACTTTTGAATTTTTTTGGCATGATCAATACTTAAACAATTTGAAAATTCATTTATTTCAAGAGTTGCACATATATAAACCAAAACATTCCACGTTTTACTTGGCATTTCTCTTATTCTTAAATTATTAGGGGTTAGAACAAGTGCTCTATGGTTATAAATTTTGCTATAGCAAATTTATCATATTTTGCCGATGATTTAATGATAAAAAAGTCAAATTTGGGATGGTCTCTGTAATATATTTACGTGTTTGGTAAGATAAAATCATCAAAATCGAATGGTAACTAATTTTTTGGTTGAAGGTGTTTATCTACCTTAAAGCAAGGCAAACATGTTTCACTCTCAACACCCAGGCACATTTTACATGTGTTTATTTCCAGTATTGGGCTAAAATGGCGCAAAAGCTAGGAACTTCAAACTTGGCACACAGGTTCCCTATATAACTTGCATAACATGGTAAACTTTAGGTACACATGTTTATTGTTATTCCAGTACTTACATTTTATGTGTACAAGGCCTAATCCGTGGCTCCGAGTGTTGATATGAATATTGAGAAAATCAAGAGCAGGATGGCATCTCCTGAGATGTGCATTAGTTGTGCATTGTTTTTTGGGATGTCATTCAAGATAGCAGGGTTATTTTACTGATTATGTATACAATCTGCTTTCACAATGTTTTGGTTGAAGTAAAATATCAGGTTAGTACTAAGATCAGCTTGTCCCCCATTGGTCAGGACTACACAAAGTTGACAATCCATGCTCGTGTGGGATCAACAGGTTACTTTTAGAAGCTGGTCCTGTAACAGTGATAACACTTACAAAATACTAAATATTTTATTTCACAAACAGTAACATACAAATTGTCCATTTTATCTGGCACTCAACAAAAAACATTTAAAGACACAAAACATAAATAAATACCATATATAGAAATTGTAGTGATAAATAATACATTGAACACATATTCAAAATTCCCCAATATTTTGTGACAGCTAATATGTATCCCTCATCACACTACATATAATTTTTTAGCACAGGTCATTGAACAAAATTGTTTGATATGACATGTAAACTATTCAAAATACACATTTTCATACATTTTTCAGAGTAATTTTGTGGAGAATTAGTTCAGTGACCATATATTTTTATTTCAGAGTTTTGAACCTTACTGTGACCCAACCCCTCAAGTAATTAGGAAGCACCCCAGATTTTTATGTTCCAGATTACTCTATACAAATCCCTAAGCCTTGGCCATTTTGAATTTATAATAAAGTCATTAGTGACATCTTGAATTAGCGAAATCAGTTCTCTCGCTAAATTTGCTAAAATGACATGCTCGCGAAAAAGACATGTTTTACAGTACCTTAATAATAATAATACAACCTAGATAGTCTTTATTATTAATGTTAACACCATACAGTGGTTGCTCACCGTTTACTGTTAACATTAACACCTATAAAGAACGACTTAAGTGTTCTCACCATGATACATAGGTAAATTAGTTGCAGTAAATACTGTAAAGGGGTTAATTATTCACTGGGTTTCAATTTTGCTTATTTCGCTGACTGAAAAATGCGCTAAATTAAAACCCAGTGAATATGTAAAATTTAGCATAGAACACATTGTCTAAATGATAAAACAGTGAATTTAAAACCCACTGAGTATGCCTGAAATGGTAAATCAGCAAAATTTAAACCCTATGAAAGGTAGTCATTTTACAGTATTGGTAATGAGATTAATTAATTTCAATTATGGGTGTACTGTTTCAGTTTATTTTAACAATTTCATTTATTGTTTGGGTATAAAAGCTGTAGTAAAAATTTATAGTGCACAAAATGTTATCGCATTTCATTCAAATCACACATCAGTGCGATTTATATACAGCTTTATAAATTACATGCAAATTAACTATTCAACATGCATCACATAAACCATTACCGTTGTTGATTTAATGTCTGCTATGTAAAACCATATCACCGTCATGGCTTGTTAAGAATAAATACACTTTTCTGGATAGTTCTGGTCCAATTCGTCGATTTGTTGCCAATACACCGGCACCCCTCCTCACCTACAGACAAGAATAAATAAACATAACCAGGCATGTAGCTTAGTGTAATGCTAGACTGCTTTAAAACACAGCAGGCACCAGAATATCAGATGTCAGGTTATTAAGTTACCGTACCATATTTACTGTACATGTATTTAAAGTGCACATGAACCAAAAATTGCATTTACTGTATGCTGGATTATTAAAATACATGTATAACTTGATCCTATATACATCTCAATTATTTATGTAAGCACAATCACTATCGGTACTAATAGAGAAAATATGGCATTTATAATACTGATAATTGCTATGTTCACACACCAGCATTTTATCAGAGCCCTTTTATTTGAGGGCACTGTTCTGTTCTGTTCTGCTCTGCTCTGATCAAACAGAATTGAACTCTGGCAGATCTCATTTCTCATTTGGCCCGACCATGTAAATGCATTGGAGATAATTTCCTGTTAATCGTGGGAGGAGCAGTAGTTCGACTCCGAAATAATGCTGCCGGTGTACATAGCAAATGTAAAACTGAATATTAATCTAGCATTGCAACAACTCTTTCCACATTTAACACTTGCAAGCACCATTCTTCACCAACTTACCACAATGTCTTGTAGTAGCTTCTCAGCTTGTTTAGCACTTGAACATTCTTGATAAGCCTAAATATAGAGTAATTTGAAGAAACACTGATAAAATAATGGAAAATTTCACCACTGATGTATGTATTCCATGACATTGGGTTTTCACTATACAGTGTGGGAATTGTACAACATATAATATACTGGGCCACAGTACACAATGGTTATAGTACTGTAAAACTCTTTGTATTCGTTTGGAATTAATTTTCGCTGAAGGAATGATTCACTAAAAATAAAATTCAGCAAATATATCTTTTTCCTTATATTTTACATTCGACTAGTCAAAAATTAGTGAAAATAAATTCCATACAAAACTCCCCAAATTTTTTTTCAGCAAAAATTAATTCTAGCTAAAATAAAGTATTTAACAGTACTCAAGATAGCTTTCTAGAATGGTTTGAGAAGTTGTAACTATATATTCACACTTTTGTGTAGATCAGGTAATGTTCTCAACACCACTTATCAGCCCTTTTTTTTTTAATCCATATGAAATACGTGTGTTTTGGCCATTTTGTGTATGGTTTGGATGTCTGTTATCAAGAATAAACCAATAGAATAAACAGCCAATGTCAACAGAGTAGCTGAGGTGAATCTAATGCATGCTTTTTGGTTCATTTAGTGTAATTTTCTAGACTCAGCAGCTCTCAAAACCTAATATTACATTGTAATAATGTAAATAATCCATCAAGTTTTCATGTTATTCTCATGAAGGCATTGGCTGTTCCCACTCTGGACACCAACAGAATATTTTCCAGTGTAGTTAACAAAGGCACTCAGCACTAAACACAAAGAAAATTTGATTGGCTTAAAGTAGGATTCACATCAATTTAAATCCCCCCTGGGAAGAGTTGTAAGCAGAAATTTTTATATAGATGTAAATAATATAAACTATTTAATTTTTGCTGCAAACTTACAGCCATTTACGAAGACAAAGACAGTAAAATGATCTCTACTACGAAGAGTGTTGTGATTGAAAATGTATCTTGCAATTTAAATCAGTTTACCATATCCTACTGATTTCTCAAGCTGCACTACAAGAATTGAAATTACAATAAATTCCTGGTTGTTCAGTTGAACTTGACAAGCACTCTGAAAAACTGGTTGTCTGCCATGAAAATGTAGGTGTCCAATCATTTTTATAATTGGACAATTAATATTACACATTATTACATATGTAGTGTGTTATTCATAGTTTCAACGTTTTTCAATAATATTGGTATTGACTGCAGAAATATACAAATGAGATAAAATAGTCCTTTTTAAAATAGTTTGCTTGGCATCCAATGCACAACTTGAATTGCCACAGTACATTTTGGCACTTTGTTTATATTGTTTAATGTTCTAGCTTATATGTACATGTATATTTGAATAATAAAACCTTCAGATTATCAAAAGCCATGAAATAACTAAATTAGTCACGTGTCCATGTACATTGTGTAATAATAATGTTGATATCTTCACGGTACATTATGCAATGCAATGCTGTACTTTGCTCATAAAAATACAGCCACAGGATACACCTCATCAATCGTGAAAATTACGTCAGGACAAGGCCATCACATTCTGTCACATGACTGGTCTTGTGTATCTACATGTATCTGGAGGTAAGTAGCAATGATTAAAACTGAACTTTTTTTTCAGTGGAATGATAATACTGCACTGGATTAAAAATATAAAAATAAAAATTATTATTTCTAAAAAAAATAAAATAATTGATTTCCCAATGGGCAACCAGTCTCAAGATTTGGTTGTCTCATGGCAAAAAAAGTTGCCCATGGCAACCAGACAACATCCAAATTCAAACACTGCACTAAGTGAACAAAGCAGCAAATAGGAAAATAAAATTCTTGATTTTACCTTCATCAATATCTGCGGTGATGGATAGGCTGCCACAATGGCTGCTGCTTTGTCAACACTCACTAATCTGAATTGTTGTAACTGTTGCCTCCATACTCTCAATAAACCTTTTCCATCTTTGTCAACTCTGACACCACCAGCCCATTCTGTGGAAACATGGAAAGAGAATATTCCCTTGTCTCGTTCTCTTCTACAAGGCAAGAAAAAAACAAAACAATCAATACCTGAGAATCTAATCAAAACTGTTTCTAAAAATTAAAAGAAAAAGTGGATTCCTTTTTATTTTTTTCGAGAAATGCAATTATATATTTTAATACTGAACCAACATGGTTACCGGTATATGACAGGTAAAATGTTTTATGTTCATGCTATACATATGCAAACAGCACACAGACAGCCTGCTGTTCAAACAACAATTCTCCAGTTACTCACATGCTTTTATCATAAATATCTGTCATGTGACAATGACATATCAGCATGCAAGTTAATTGGTAACAAAACGGTCAGTCTTTGGATTACCCAGTACCCATAAAATAAACAAATCAATACTGTTTGATAGTTTGACTTACTTAAAGGGTGCTTCGGCTATGGCTTTTGTAAACATAGCAATCACTGTACCAACATCTGCCATGGTTTCTTCAAGACGAACGTTACAATTCTCGTTTAATTGTAAATCAACCAAAGCCTTAAATAACAGGAAAGGGAAATTATAACATCTTTAATTCCAAATTCCATTTTCACATCTCATGAACATTAAAATAACACTGATCATACTGAAAGGGCAGTTCAAAAACAATTGCTCAGCGGATTGTTGTACGCTGGAACATTAAAAATATGAATTATTTTGTCCATAGACAACTATTTATGAAAGTCCATGTACTGAGAGAGCAAATGTGGCATTTCCAAAAATACAACCCAATGACTGATTGTATGGTGTTTTCACAACTGTGTTGATCAGTAAAGATACAACGTCCAATGCTCCATAGAGAGCATGGCACTGAAACACCAATAGTAATACTTGGCATATTGACTCTGATTATAGAAGTTGTCATGATAGACAGCAGCTACACATTCTTTAAACAGTGGTTGTCTAAAATCAATAAAAACTATCTGTACAATTAAAAATACACACTATCTCATTGTAATTCTGATGAAATTTTGGAAGGTATAATGAGCATCAAATTTACACATTTTCAACTTATTTATCATTCATAATGAAAGTAGATGTCCACACAGGTGAACATATTTACGTTCAGGGAATATATGACAATTACAAATGTGAAAAATACTTTATTTAAAAGTGTCTGATGTATTTTGTAAAGAAATTGTATAATAACATTTGTTTTACATGTTGCCATGAGAACAAGACTTTGAATTGGTAGAACTTTTGTTCACTATATAACAGATCACGTGAATCATGTGAGTTTAGTTAGTACTAATGCATTATTTAAGTAACTGTGTTAATCTACCGTAGTCTCAAATTTGCATAACACTGAACAAAATAATTAAATTCAGATGATTTGGTTTTCTCAACTTACTGTTCAAATTTTACCTCGTTGTATCAGCAATGATATTTCACACTAAACGTCATAAATGTGAATGTTATGCAGAATGATTTAGTGATTGTAACAGCACTCACCTCCTCCATATCCACTCGAGTTATCACCCTCAGTATTCCAGATTTGTTTTTCCTCTTTCCACCCTTGCCATTATCGTCTCCACCTTGATTTGACAACACAGCTGTTCGAAAATCTCTATTCTGTTTATTCTTCTGATTTCTGATGATGTA